CCTGACAACAAAAGCTGCACTGTAGCTCTGGTAGCGTAGTGGTTACGAATCGGGCTGCCAACCTCAAGGTCAGCAGTTCCAAACTATCAGCGGTTCTGCGGGAGAAAGATGAGGCGTTCTGCTCCCGTAAAGATTTACAGCCTTGGAAACCCGGTGCAGGGTCTCCACGGTATTTAACAAAGCTGCACTGTCAGACACATTTATTTACCCACATCCCAGTGCCTCTGATTATTAAACTCTCAGATACAATTTGCTTGCAAGGCCTAAGTATGTACTGTTTGGACCTTTTCAGAAACAGCTTGCTAATTTCTGCCTTATAGTATGTGATTCTGTTAGCTCTCTGATTTCATAATTTGCTTATTTTTGTTTCTTCTCTTTTCTGTTTCCACCAGAATGTATCCTCCATAAAGTTAGCGATTCCACCCAACCATCACCCCTGCCCTGCCACCAAGTTCCATTCAGCTCACTATCCTCGCTCCTGGATCTGAAACATTTCGTGTCACGTGGCACGCGCTTCTCTACCGGCGAAAAGGAAAAGTTGATCGATCACTCGGGCCTCTACTCGGCGAGCCTGTGGCGAGCAGATGCGCGGGGCTCGGCTGGGAATGCCTGGCAGCGCGAGCGCGCGGAGCCTAGTTGGAGTTGCCCGCGGCCCCCAGCTGGGAGACCAAGCGGTGCAGGAAGAGCACGCGGCAGAAAGGGCGGGCAGGCAGCTGGGAGGACAGACGCCGGGGCTCGGTCCGTAGCCGCAGGTGCAGTCTCTGGGCGAACATTGCCTGAAGGGGAAGTCGGCCTCGGTGCAGTGGTGGCATTGATGCGTGTCCAGAAATGCCTCCACTGTGAGGGCCTGCGGAGCGAGATGACGTCACTTATGCAAATCACACGTCACTGTGTCTCCGGGGAAAACGTGCAGTAGTTCTACCAAAGGATCTGGACCCTAAAGAGATCTTGGAAATTGTCCCTACGATGCCCATCGCCGCGATTTTATGGGGGGCGACACCCTGAGATTGCATCCGTGAGCTGCTCTCCCAGGCTCACAGTTTCATCGTCTCGTTGTTGAAACATTTCTCCAAAATATGTTAATTCACATGTTTTATATTGTGGAAAGACGGAATCATTTAACTGTGCAGCCTGAAGTCAAATGGAATTCCAGGTTTTATTCTTGCGGGTCAAGAGAGTAAAAGTAAACCGTTGATATAAATCTCTTATATTTACCCAGTTTTGTCGAATACACATGATGTCAGGAGCAAAATCTGACCAAAAAGGACCTCGTAGAAGTTTATCAACCAGCAAAACTAAAAAAAAAGGGTCGAATTCTGTTATTTCGTACTTCACCAATGCGCCACCTGCCAAACTTGCCTGCCCCGTTTGTAGTACTATGGTACCGAGATATGACTTAAGCCGGCACCTTGATGAGATGTGTGCTCATAAAGCTGATGCCATTCGGACATGTCCAGTTCCTGTTGACTTACCGAATCCAAGTGTGTCCACAGTGGATTTAACCAACAATGCCTTAGAGTCCGTAACTCCAATGAAGTCATCGCCAAAGAGGAGTTTAAGCCCTGATCCGGGTGATTCAGCTCCAAAGAGCAAAAAACAGATCAGTTCCTACTTTAAAGGCAAGGATGATTTTATGTGCAGAAGTCAGCCTGAGCTGAGTAGGCCTGTGAAAGTCATTCCTTTGGGAAGCCTGGCATCCAAATTGTCGAGTAAATACAGAATGGCTAAAAAAGCCATCGGTAAGAATACAGAGTTTGGGACTCACAGAGTTACAGATCCAAGCAGTTCCTTATCCACAGAGGTTAAAAGCTTGGCTGACAACTGCTCAGGGATTGAAAACAGGGATGAAATTTTGGAGAACTTTTCTCAAAAGGAAAACGTTTTTGGGTGTGAGTCACTTAAAGAAGAGAATGCTTCTGAATGTACCGTAGAAAGCAGTAAAATAATGGAAGCTGACAGCCAGAAAGCTACCCAGGAATGTGCGGAATCAGACCTCATCTCTGGCTTGTCAGATAATTCCTTTGCATTGTTTTCTTCAGATGTAACTTTGGGGAATAATTTAAAGTCTATGTCACAAGACAGTCGTGAAAAGCAGGAAAGTATCAAAGGAGTAGATAGTAAAAAATTTGAGGCAGGTCGTTGTAAAGAAGTAACACTGACTGTTGCTAATCAAAGTAGAGCCCAGTTGTCAGACTTGAAAGCAGAGTCTCAGACTTCCACAAATGATGTTGCTCTGGAAGGTGACAGTGGCTTAAGGAATGAAACTGTTCACAATGCTCCTTTGGAGGCGGGCCCAAGCTGTGATGTTCCTGACACAACAGCCGAAACACCCCCAAAACATCCTTACTACCTTCAAAGTTTCCTTGTGGTGCTGAAAGCTGTTCTTGAGAATGAAGATGATTTGATGCTTTTTGATGAACACGAGAAGGAAATTATAAGTAACTTTTATCAATTATCAGGTACCTTAAACCTATATGCTTTTGAGTTTTTGTTTCCCATTTATTGTTATTATTATCAGTGATGGGATAGTCTGAATGACCAGAAGGAATCGTTGTGCTTTTGTGAGTATATCACTGACTCATAGCCACCCCCCCACCCCCACCCCCGTACAGGGTTTTGGAGGCTGTAAATCTTTGCTGGAACAGAATGCCTCATCTTGTCCCTCAGAGCTACTGGCAGATTCAAACTGCTGACCTTGCAGTTAGACAGGTGTCACCCACAAAGGTGCTGAGGACTCCTTGTCAGTATACTATCGTACTCAAATCAGAGCCTAATACAAGTTTTGTATTTGTAAGGATGTGTTTGTCAACTAGGCTGTATGTTCCAGTGATGTTTACTATTGCAGTACCATGCATGATAAGCAGTTGTTTGGTTATAATGCAAACAGTGACATTTCATTTATACACATAGGTGATGGATGCAAATTTTAAATGCAATTTCAAATGCAAAATTTGTAAACCTTTTCTATATTTTAAAAGTACAGCTTGACGTAGATAAGCCTTCCTTTGTTGTTGTTGTTGTTGAGTGCCATCGAGTCGGGTCCGACCCATAGCGACCCTGTACAGGGTTTCCGAGGGTGTAAATCTTTACGGGAGTAGAAAGCCTCATCTTTCTCCCGCGGAGCGGCTGGTAGTTTCGAACCGCTGACCTTAAGGTTCGCAGCCCGATTCGTAACCACTACGCTACCAGAGCTCCTTACACTCCTGCATATCATCAGACTGATTATGAGGTTTTGTTAGTTTCACACCATTACCAAGACAGGGTGTGGAGGCAATGGAAACTTTCAAGGTAAATTGGTACACTTCATTCAACATGTTAATCTGTGCCTCCAGTCTTTGGCAACAAGTGGTAGCTGCAAGCCATTAGTGCTGGTTTGCAGCAAAAGCTACTTGGTGATGCAAATCCAGTTGGCCCTGAAGGCTGCCTGGCTAATGCCCTTCAGAGATAGGAAAACCTTAGTGGGGGGCCACATTGCCCTCTAATAATATGTAGCTTTGTCTGACACCTCATTGTATTAAAAAAAAAAACAAAAAAACCACACACACACAAAAAAAACTTGAACATTACAACGAATGTTTAAGAAAAGTATTTTTGTTTTAAAATTCACACAGTGAATTATGATTGTAGCATCCCTTGCCTTTTTGACATATGAGAAATACTTTTCTGGGGATTCATACTGGTTCCTACTCCACTTGTGCAATTCCCACCAGGGGACATGCATAAAACATCACACACAGCTCTGTCATGTAGAGGAGCCACAGATCTTTGTTGGGAACTGAAGGCATTAATGTGAATGGGTTTTTTTTGAGTGGTTGGTGGCACTAGGTCTCAGTATTGTGGAGAAGTACTAATAGTTTTCCAAGTACAATTCCGCATATTACTATACTCAGCTTTCCAAAGAGAATTATTTATGCTACGTCTCCATGTGATAAGGATTTCTGTGAATTGATTTTTCTGCTTGAAAGTAAAAAGAAATGTTGACATTTCAAAACATAAGTATGCTGTTTTGGAGTTGGAAGCTATACAAAGGTGTAATCCATTAACAGGGAAACAGACTGTTGTTGTTATTAGGTGTCCAAACTACCAGCTGTTCCGCCGGAGAAAGATGAGGCTTTCTGCGCCTGTAAAGATTTACAGCCTCGGAAACCCTGTACAGGGTCGCTATGGGTCGGAACCGACTCCACGGCACATCACCACCACAACAATAATAATTTCACTCAGCATAATGTCCTCCAGGTTCATCCATGTTGTGAGGTGTTTCACAGATTCATCAGTATCCAGCGTTGGTAGTATTTCATTATATGTATGTACCAAAGCTTGTTTAACCATTCTTTTGGTGATGGGCATTCAGTCTGTGCCCATCTTTTTGATGTGTCTCTTGAAGACAGAAGGATCTCGTTTTCTTATCCATTCTGTTCTTTATGTCTCCTGACCGGTACATTTAATCCATTTACATTCTGTGCAATTATCAATAGGTATGAATTGAGTATTGTCATTTTCTGTGTGTGTGTGTTTTTTTGTGGTAATGCTGGATTCTTTCTTCCACATAATTTTCTATGCTGAGTTCCTTTTGTTTGTGGGTTTTCTTTTCATTTTCATTTCTGTTGTGTTAATGTTTACTAAATCTTTCTAATCTTCCGCTTTTCATTTTGGTGTGCAGGTGCGTTATTTTAGTTTGAGGTTGCCTTGTAATTTCCCTGCTTAAAATAGTTCATTTTATTTTGAAATCCACTTGACTTCCTTGTCTTTTGGAAGTTCTACACTATTAACTACACTACTCCCTCTTTTTGCTTTGCACTTGACTTCACTTTACATTAATGTCTCTGGTTCCCTGTTTTCATTTTATAGCTTTGTTTTACTTGAAATACTTCTATATGTAGATTGAAAAGTACTGGTGTGGCACTGTGAGTTAATGCACCGGACTGCAAGGTCAGTTTGAACTGCAAGGTCAACGGTTCAAGCTCACCAGCCGCTCCTCAGAAACCCTATACAGGGTCACTGTGAGTCGGAACCGACTCAACGGCACTTAACAAAAACAACCTATATGGATTGAGTTCTGGGTGGTGTTGTCATGTATGGTGACCTTAGGTTGTTGTCCGTTCTCAGTCCAAAGAACACATTTTAGCATATTTTTGTAAAGTTGGTCTGGTCATTACAGATTCCTTTAATTTCTGTATATGAGGAAATGTCCTAATTTTGCAGTTGTATTTGAGGAACGGCTTTGTTGGGTATCTGATTCCTGGTTGGCAGTTGTTTTCTTTCAGAGTTTTGTATATGTCATTCCATTGCCTTCTTGCCTGCATGGTTTCTGCTGAGAAATCAGAGTTTAGTCTCACTGGTTTTCCTTTGTAGGTAATCTTTCATTTTTCCCGAGCTGCTCTCCGGATCCTTTCCTTGTCTTTGGTTTTGTAACGTTTGATTATGATATGCCTTAGTGATATTCTTTTGGGATCTGCTCTGTTTGGGGCTCATTCAGCTTCTTGTCTGCTTATCTTCTCATCTTTCATGATGTTAGGGAAGTTTTCTTCGAACAACTCTTCAGCAGCTTTCTCTGTGCTGGTCTCTTCCTGTTCAAGGTCATATTTAGCCTCTTGTGGACTTGTTTTAATTTTCTTCAGCTTTAGCCTGAATTTGGCTGTGGCTGCGTGCCTTCGAGTTGGTTCCGACCCATAGCGACCCTGTACAGAGTTTCCGAGGGTGTAAATCCTTACGGGAGTAGAAAGCCTCATCTTTCTCCCGCGGAGCAGCTGGTTGATGGTCTGGTCTGGTCCATCGTCTGCCCCCGGCTTGGTTTTGGCTGATGACATGGAGGTTTCCCACTGTTTCGTTTCACAGATGTAGTCAATTTGATTTCTGTGTATCCAGTCTGGTGAGGTCCATGTGTATAAATGTCTTTTATGTTGTTCAAAAAGGAATTCACAATGAATAAGTCATCGGTCTTGCAAAATTCTATCAGGTGATCTCCAGCATCATTTCTTTCACCAAGGCTATATTTCCAACTATTGATCCTTCTTGGTTTCCAACCTTGACATTGTAATCACCAGTAATTATCAATACATCTTAATTGCATGTTTGATCAATTTCAGACTGAAAAGTTGGTAGAATTGTTCAATTTCTTCATCACTGGCTTTAGTGGTGGGGGTGCAAATTTGAATAATAGTGGCATTAATTGGTATTCCTTATAGTGGTGCTGTGGGCTAATGTGCTGGACTACAAAGTTGGTTTGAATCACAAGTGGTCCAAGCTCACCAGCTGCTCCTTGGAAACCCTCTACAGGGTCACTATTGGTCAGAACTGACTCCACGGAACTGAACAATACTTAGAATATCAATCTTTATGCATTGCATTTCATTTTTGACAACTTCCAATTTTCTTGGATTCACACTTTGAGTATTCCATATTCTGATTACTAATGGATGTTTGCATTCAACTCATTTTGAGTTGTGCCCCATCAGCAAATGAAGGTCCTGAAAGCTTTACTTCATTTGAGTCTTCGTGGTCAGCTCCACTTTGAGGAGGTAGTTCTTCCCCAGTCTTATTCTGAATGGCTTCCAACCTGAGGGTTTCGTCTTCCGGCACTATTTCTGACAGCGTTGTGGTGCTAGTCTTAATGTTTCAGTATTCTATACCTTGGTGCTATCTGACAGTGTTTCATTGATATTCTTAAGGTATTCGGTGGGTAAACATTCAGAAGTAGAAGTCTGTCTCTCCTTTTTCCTGCTCTATCTTAGTGTAGAAGCTCAGCTGAAACCTGGCCACCATGGGTGTAACCCTGATGGTATTTAAAATACTGCTGGCACAGCTTCACAGCAACACGCAAGTCACCACAGTACAACAAACTGACAGACAGGTGGTGAGAAACTGACCAGAGGGGTTGATTTCGTAATTTGACCAAAATCACCAAGCTAGAGAGAGATTGTTGTCCTACTAAGCTAGATAGGTTTTTGATGATACTTTCAGATTTTCTTTTTACCAACAAAAAGAATGCATATTAAACTAAAAATCAGAGAGCATGATAACTAGAATTCTGGAGAGGACTCATGAAAGAGGAGAAATATTGGTGGCAAGAAAGTAGGGGAACTAGGGTTTTAGAAGTTCTGAAATGACCAGTTGTTGTTGTTGTTAAGTGCTGTCAAGTCAATTCTGACCCATAGTGACCCTATATAGGGTTTCCAGGGAGCAGCTGGTGAACTGGATCCACCGACCTTGCAGTTCAAATGACTTTGCAGACTGATGCATTAATTAGCCCACAACGCCACGCCAGTATTAGGCATTACAAATATTTGAATTTCTTGAAATGGCATATAGCACACGGAATATCTTACCTTGTTTAATCTTTCCATCAGCTTTCAGGAGATGGTGTTATTGTATGCTCCCCAGCCCCGCTGCTGTCTTTTCATCCGAGGGTCACTGACCCCTTAAGGATCAGGGATTTGTCCACAATTCAAGCAGTTCATTGCATCCTGTGGTCATGGTCCAAGGGCCAAGGGCCTGACCCAACAGGGACTTTCTCCTTGAAGTCAATCCCATCTTCCAAAGTAGGAAAAAGACTTTCTTGGAAGACCAGTTCAGTAAGCATATGTGTATTTCTAATGGAGTATCCTTAGGTTTACCAAACTAAATTATACAAGAACACCCAGACTTGCAGATAGTACCCATTTGACCTAGCCTTGATGGCTTGATAATCAGAACTCAACTAGAGGAAGATAAAAATAAAAACAAATAAACAATTTTTGATAACGGAAACTAGGGTAAATTGCTGAAATTTGGTGAACTTGATGTATCCTCATGGAGGTAATAACTCAAAATACCAACAGAGAGCAAAAGAGTCTTAACTTATCAGTGCTATCCCCTCTGTACACAGGATAGATAAGGACGGGCAACTTAGACACTGGCTACCTAAAATGAGGGGGTGATAATGGCACGAAGTGACTGGCTTACAAGGTTTCAAGGCGGAGTTTAGTTTCAGAGTGTGTGAGAGAAGATAGAGTCCCCACTGAATACTTTTCATCTTGTCTAGATGGGTCTGGTTAAGAGAGATAGGGATAAGATTCTTATGATTCAATAGTGAGTAATTGTTACCATGACTAATTGTGACTGTAACAATTGTAAAGGTAGAAGTTTTACAACAAAAACGGGGAGTAATTAATTTTACAGTTAATCTAGAAGTAGTTAATCCAGAAACAGAACCCTAGGACCACCAAGGGAGAAGAGCAGGAGTGGAGTGCAGGACCTTATCCAGAGAAGTAGTGATACCAGAGATGGAGGCAGAGATGGGGACATGGAGAGAGGGAGTAGCTGAGGACTCTAGATCCACGGAAAGAGAGGTACTGAGAGCTGGCGGTCAGGAGGCAGACTTGCAGAATATGCTGTTCGGTGGTGTAAATTATTATACATGCCTGAGTGTTTACCAAAAAAAAAAAGAGCTAAAGTGAATAGAGAGAAATACTGTTAACTGATGGTACATGGAGGGGATTTATAATCATTGTAATGAAACAAGGTGTACAATTTGTTGAATGTTTAAAAAAAAAAAAAGTATTTGTATATTGCATTTCAGAAGAAACTTTATTGGTTTTATTGCTTCTTGACTTTATTGCAGCTAATGGTCAGAAGTTATATGTCCGACTTTTTCAACGTAAATTTAACTGGATTAAAGTGAATAAATTAGAATATGAAGAGATTGCCCCAGATTTAACACCTGTAATCGAAGAACTGAAGGCAGCCGACTTTGTCCAGACAGGTATGGTTAGATAAAGGACAATTTATGACAATACTGTGTGAAGAACTTCATGTTAGTGTGATGTCGTCTCCACGATGGTGCCTGGTGAATTGTGAATTGTTTTTCTGCAATGACAGTTTTTAGGAAACACATTATTCATGTGATGCTAAGGATATTCTTAGCATAAGAATATTAGAATAATGGAAGACTCACGGCTGTTATTTTCCTGACTCACAGATTTAGGGCAATACAGTTGCCTGGAGATAACATGTAGACGCATGCCACAAAGGAAAGCTAGTGGTTTTCATTATTTTACTTAAGTTTATTGCAGCTGTTGGTCAGAAGTTGTATGTAAGACTGCAAGTGTCTTTCCTCAGTCTCTCGTTTTAGCCAGAAGGAGTCCCCACTGAATAGTTTTCATCTTGTCTACATGGGTCTGGTAAAAAGAGATGGGGATAAGATTCTTAGGATTCAGTAGTAATTGTTATCATGACTGATGGAATCCATTTCAGATTTCTTTATGATAGAATAAAGCTGATTGATTTGTATTTAATATTGCCTCTCAAAACTTTATCTACCCTTACTGCATACACATACAGGTGTTATGGGAGTCCTGGTGTGGCACTGAGGGTTAATGCGCTGGATTGCAAAGTTGGTTTGAACAGCAAGGTCGGTGGTTCCAGCTCACCAGCTGCTCCTTGGAAACCCTGTACCAGGTCGCTATGGGTCGGAACTGACTTGACAGCAGTCAGCAACAAACAGCAAACATGCTTACACATACAGGTGTTACATTTTATTGGTTGATGGCTTTTAGAATGGTTGACTACTTTTTTTTTTTACACAAGTAACGTGCCCATTATGTGGATTTTGCAAACTGCACAGCCCCCGTTCTGTGAGCGCTATACGTGGTGCTGGTTACGTGGTCTGGTTGAACATTTTGGAATCAGAAGGAAACCAATGGCTGTCTAGTTAATTTGGACTCCTGGTAGCCCCGGGTGTGTTTGCGTAGAATTGTGTTTTCATAGTGGTTCCAGTGACTGACGTCTTAAAAGTAAATTACCAGTCCTTTCTTTCAAGATAGTTCTAGGTGGATTTGGACCTCCAATCTTTCCGTTAGTAATTGAGAGTTGTTGTTGTTGTTAAGTGCTGTCGAGTCGGTTCAGACCCATAGCGACCCTGTACAGGGTTTCCGAGGGTGTAAATCTTTACGGGAGTAGAAAGCCTCATCTTTCTCCCGCGGAGCAGCTGGCAGTTTCGAACTGCTGACCTTAAGGTTCGCAGCCCGATTCGTAACCACTACGCTACCAGAGCTCCTTAGTAATTGAGAGAGTATTTATCATTTTCACCACAGGAATTCCAATATATAGTTTGTTGTTGTTGTTAAGTGCTGTGGAGTCAGTTCTGACCCATAGTGACCCTGTGTAGGATTTCCGAGGATCAGCTGGGGGGTTTCAAAGTGACCTTGCTGTCCAGTACCTTATCCTGAAGCCCCACGTGACTCCAATCTATAGTAACCTTTAAAGGGGACTGTCCTCACCACACTGACCATATTCATCTGTACTTTGTTCACAACTTTTCTTTACATTTATTAGTGAGAAACTATTATGACTCTCAAGAGCTATTAATTTTACATATTGGTTTGGCCAGCTAATTAAAATGTCTGCAGTAGAATTTCTTTTAATTCATGTCTAAGTGTTCTTCTTTCGAAAGTAAATGAAGGTTGTTTAGAGACTCTTAGAAGTGGTTTTTAACTACTTTTTCCTTTAACCATTTTAGAATCTGAATTGCAAGAACTCACTGAAGTGCTTGAGTTACTTTCTGCTCCGGAAGTAAAATCCTTGGCAAAGCTCTTCCACCTGGCAAATCCCAATGGACAGAAGCAACAGCTGGTCGATTCTTTTCTCAAATTGGCCAAACAGCGTTCCGTCTTCACCTGGGGCAAGAATCCGCCTGGCATTGGAGCAGTGATTTTAAAAAGGTTTTACTGACTGGTGTTATAGTAAAAACATTTAAAATCTCAATGTATGCTGGTGGTGGTGATGTGCCGTGGAGTCAGTTCCAACTGCATAAGGTTTCTGAGGTTGTGAATCCTTATATGAGCAGAAAGCCTCAACTTCCCCCGCCCCAGAACTGCTGGTAGTTTTGAACTGCTGACCTTGCGGTTCGCAGCCCGATTCGTAACCACTACGCTACCAGAGCTCCTTAAAAATCGTAATGGTGCATGTTAACTTGTAATCGATTAGGCACTTCTTCCAATTATAAGAACTTATTTTAACTCCAATTAGATTAAGAAGGCTGGAAGAACTACTTACCATAACTGGAATTCTTTGTGCATTTAAAATTCATAACTCTTATTGTAGTACATACTGCACTAATTTCTTGGCACCCCCAGATACATACCCATGTTGTAACTGCTGTTTTTAGGTGCCTTTGAATCAGTTCATATTCATAGCGATCCTGTATAGAGTTTCTGAGGCTTTTAAATCTTTGTGGGAGCAGACAGCCTCGTCTCTCTCAAGCAGCAGCAGGCTTGAACCGCGGATCTTGTTCATAATTCAGTGCTCATCTTGTGGCGCCACCACGCTCAGCAAAGGCAACAAGTATTATTCAAGAAAAATAACAGTTATAACTATTTTTACAGGATTTTAGTAGTCACATTTTTATTTTAGTAAACTTTTTATTAAAGTATAATTAGTCCTTGTTGTTAAGTGCCGTCAAGTTGATTCTGACTCATAGCGACCCTGTGTAGGGTTTCTGAGGAGCAACTGGTGAGCTTGAACCACTGACCTTGTGGTTCAAACTGACTTTGCAGTCCAGTGCATTAACTCACAGGACGTTTCATTAAAACATTACAAATGACCAAAAACTGGTGATTTCATGTATCTTTTAAGTCCTTGAACTGTTTCAGATTGGGGAAGATGTTAAATAACTTTTAGAATTTTTATTTCTCCTGCCTTTGTTGTCTATAAATTAAAACTTTGTCAACCTCACGGTGGAAATCCACGATGTTGGAGTAGTTGAGAATGAAATGAAATGATGCTTTTCCAAAACACTTGAAAGAGATTGTCAGTGTTGTTTACTTTATATGTGTACTCTTCACCCTGAGTTGTCTTGTACATCTAGAATTGAACTGAGTTCATTTTGTTGAGGAGATACTAGAAGTAATCATCTTTAATAGAACATAGGTATAGAGTCCTGGTGTGGTGCTGTAGGATAAGCACTGGACTGCTAACTGTTAGGTCAGTGATTCAAATCCACTAGCCCTGCTCCTTGGAAACCCTATGCAGGGTCATTATGAATTAGAACTGATTTGACGGCACTTAACAACAGTGTTGAATATAGGCATGCTCACTTCATGGTGCACGCTGGTGGGCACTAGGTCTCCCAGAACCACCTTGGTGGGGCTGCAGTGCTGTTGGGCCTTCTGGGATGAGTGTGCCAGGATGGCTGCCTTAACCGGTGGCACTGCCTGCCAGTGTAAGCTCTGACTGGGCTGGTGTGATGGCAGGCCTGTGGGTCTGGGGGTGCACTGGCATTTGGTGGTTGCTTGTCACGTTGAACGTGGACATGGCTTTCAATGGCGCGGTGACTCTGTAGAATAACCACAAGATGGGCGGCTCGAGCCCACCAGCCGCTCCGCAGAAGAAAGCTGATGCTTTCTGTTCCTGCAGAGATTTCCAGCCTCCAAAACCCCTACAGTGTTGGTTTCAGTCGGAACTCGCTCAACAGTTAACAGTTGTTACAACAGCAACAACAATGTTGATAGGTGACCCTTTTATGACAGTTTTCATAGTATTTCAAATGTTCAGGACCAGAGTAAGCCTTGTCCTACTCTGTCTTGAGAAAGAAATATTCTCATTGAGCCAAACTACGTATGAAATTGTTGGGAGATGTGATTTTATTTAAACTTCACTGTGTGCCCAGAGAGGTGAAGTAATGCCCCACAGTTAACACAACTGGAAGTAGTAGATTGAGAATTCCAACTCTAAAAAAGATTACTCTGCATTCTACTTCTTGAAGCTTAGAATACTATTTTCATTTTAACTGAAAATAATTTGTGAAGTCTGACATCCAAATGCCTAAAATAAGCAAGGTATGTTCATATTGTACATTTTTCAGGGCTAAAGACTTGGCTGGCCAGTCCCTCAGAGTCTGTAAAGGCCCCAGGTCTGTATTTTCCCGAATCTTGCTGTTGTTTTCATTGGCTGACTCAATGGAAGATGAAGACGCTGCATGTGGTGGACAGGGACAACTTTCTACTGTCCTGTTGGTCAATCTTGGCCGGATGACCTTTCCTAGTTACAGTATCAACCGGAAGACAAAAATCTTCCAAGACAGAGAAGACCTCATCAGGTAAGATCCTATGAAGTCACTTTCTCAGTTCTCTAGCACAGCGATGACAGAAATATTGCAGGCAGAGGCTTTAACAACCCGGAAGTCATTCTCTCACAGTGAAGGAGACCAGAAGCCCAAATTCAGAGTGCTGGCCCTTGGCAGGGGAGGCTTTCTCTGTGTCACCTCTGGGGAAGGGTCCTTGTCCCCTTTCAGCATCTGTGGACCCAGTGTTCTTTGGAGAGCTCCCTACATCTTGGCATCAATCATTCCCTGGACCTTAAAGCTTCACAGTGCCAAAGGATGTACTCCACTCCTGGCTCTTCTCGCTTGGTGGTAGCAGGTCCTTCTGAGCTCAGAAGACATTGACTCCATGTACAGGCTAATCCGCTAGGTGGGGTTTGATTTCATCAGCATCAGAGAAGTGAGGATTTTACAACAGCTCACATCATGATCATGGGGTGATTGCATCATAATTGATCTCATCGTGGAGGTGACAACTCCATCTTAACTGGCCCAGCCAAACTTAACGCAAAACTTTAACTCAAACACACACTGTAGTACCTTGGTGTGTGCTTTAACTGGTATGAATTTATTTGTTTATTTATGTTTTGCCAGCCGCAGTAGAAACCTAAGTCCACAGCCAAAACAGTCTTTAAAATTATTTTGTTCTCGATCTTTTTGCCTCTCTCACAAATATTTCTCTAAATGTAAGGAGAATGTGGAAACGTGCTTAGGCTGACAAAATGCTTGAGTCTAGAGTGAGTGCAGCCAGAACGTCCCCTGACTTACGTTCCCAAATAGCGGTGATGGTGGTGGTTGTTAAGTACCATGGACTCATAGTGAGTAGGGAGTTCTTATTATTATTTTGTAAATAATATTTTCCAGTCTTTTGGTGAAGATTTACTCAACAATTTCAATTCCCCTTCAACAGTCTCTCCACATATTGTTTTGTGACATTGGCTACGTTGTTCACAATGCATGAATGTTATCATAATTTCTGTTTAGGTGGCTTCATTTCAGTTAATCTAGTTTCCCTACATTCTCCTCTAGTCTCAGTTTTAAAGTAAGTGTTGATCATGTGTTCTCATATAGATGATTTTTTTAAGGGCCCACAGTACTTATGGGTGATATTATTTTGTGAGCCAATCTGTTGTTTAGCTACTGTGTGACCTCAGGTTAGTTTTAGTTCAAGGTTCATCTTGGTGAGTCCCGCAGTCTCCACCAGTTCAGTAAGTCTGCTTTTTAGAAGGAATTTTAGGTTCTGTTTCACGTTTTTCTACTATTCTGTTGCTGTTAAGTGCCATTGAGTTGATTCCTATTCATACCAACCATGTGTAGGGTTTCTGAGGAACAACTGGTGGATTTGAACCTCTGACCTACAGTGCCACACCAGGACCCCTCCATTCTATTAGGGTTCGTCTGTTGTTCTTCTGCTTAGAACGGTCGATAGCAGTAAGCAGGTACTGTCTAGTTCTTAAGGCTTCAGGGTAGATGAGGTTATGATTTGTGTAGACTGTCCTTGATTTCCTTCTTTTTTCTTTTGCTGTAAATTTTTACAGACCAATAGTTGTGGCTTAAATGGCTAGTTACAAACTTTTTTAAGATCTTAGACAATGTTCACCGAACTAGAATGTAGAACGTAACTTTATGAACTGTATTATCCCAGTTGACCAAGATGTTCCACAAGTCTGTGGTTCTAATGCTTCCAACCCAGGAAACCAATCTCACAGATGTTTGGTTATGGCGAAGAAATATCTGTAACTGTGCCTCCATGTGCTTTATTATGTCAGGATGTTGTTGTTGTTGTTGTTAAGTGCTGTCGAGTCGGTTCCGACCCATAGCGACCCTGAACAGGGTTTCCGAGGCTGTAAATCTTTACGGGAGCAGAAAGCCTCATCTTTCTCCAGCGGAGCAGCTGGTAGTTTCGAACCGCTGACCTTGTGGTTTGCAGTCCGATTCGTAACCACTACGCTACCAGAGCTCCTTATTATATGAGGATAAGTAAAAAAATATTGCTACTAGGGTTCTAGTTCATACATGCATGTACCTATGCCATACAAACGTATTTAAATGTGTCTCTGCATATTTGGGTAACTGCAGACAAATTCTCTCAACGATACATTTGTCTTAGTCTTGCTAGGGTGCCTTCCATAAAAGATCCAATCAAAACAGTGGTTTTCAAGGTGATCTGCTGGGCCAGTTAAATTCAAGATTGTCTCAGAAGGTTACGGTGACTCTTTGTTTTGTTTTTTTTAATGCTTTATTGTGAACTATGTGATAGTTTACATGGGAGGACATCAGCTTCACACTGATCCTGTCATATATCGTTTCCTTGCCATGGTTACAATCCCTTCCAATCCCCGCAGGCCTGCCCTGCTGTCATCCGCACACCGCCCCTCTCTCTCACCAGGTCCAAAGTCTCCAGCCGCTCCATCTCCCCACATCATCGTCTCTGTCTTCATCCCTGGCATCACTGTTTCTCTGGGTAGGGTTCCGTTCTCTGCTCCTCTGCTTTGATGGTCCCAGGGACCTCCGTTCCTAGACGGCAAGGTTAATCACTCCCCTCCCTTTGCCCCAAAATGCCTACTTTTACATTTTCAGCCCTCACAATCAGTCCTGATAACAATTAATCGCTATTGTATCGCAAGAGACCTATCTACATCTC